TTCTGGATTCATCATTCATCTGAAGATCCAACTAACTTGTGTAATTAATTTTGCTTCGAGTTATGAAACCTGATCCTTTATCTGGTCTATTAATTATTAAATTCTCATCCAGTATGAGGCTTTGGTTGGTCTCTCCATGCTCCTTAATCAATATAAACTTTATGTTATGCCTATTAATCTTAAACTGGTTTCAACGATCACTCAAATTTGTCTTAAGTCTGGTCTACCTCTAAATAGCAGTGCTGGGGCCCATAGGAATAGTTTAGCTTCATCCTGTTATTGCGTTGCTAGTTTTCAGGTGATATCATAATATCGCGATCACAGCAACTATTCAGTGTAATTCAATACTTATGGATTTATAACTGTAAAATCTGAATGACTTGATGATATTCTTTGAATTCTTCTTTCACTGTATATGTTAGATATTGTGTCGTCAAATGTTGTCATGTCGGTGGTTGATATGTGGAGGTTCATATAGTTTAGAAACAAAACCAACTTTTTGGCGTTAAACTAATGATGTTTCCAGTATGTGATTCATATCAAACAGTTGTTTCACTTTTGAAACGTATATTTATTTTGAGTATTTAATTTCGTATAGTTTTCAAAAACATAATCTTTACTTTATAAAAATACTGAAATTTGTCTCAAAAGATGTTACGTTGACTATAGCAAATGTCGGAAAAAAAGAGTGTTCTACTAACTATTCAAATTTGTTCAAAATCGATCTTTATGGGTTCGAATATTATAAAACTTTTTTACATCATTTTCCATCAATCATCTCAAGTTGCCTGATTTCCACACAGAATGATATATTCATTGAATATTCCTAGGAGAATGTATAGATATTTGCATTCGTTCCTGAACAAAATCTAACTAAATGAATTTGTAACCTTATCATAAATTTTACTAACAGTACTACTGTGAACGAAGACTTAGGTGGTAACATCTGATTGTATTTGAATACAGAATCTCTTGGCAAGATATGAGAGCTATACACTGAATATTTCATTTGCAAACTTCCATCAATTTTTCTTCATATTCTGTATGATTCTTTCATTCCACAATTCGTTCCTCTTTTCCTTTATATGCTCTTCAACTCCATCTTTTTAGTCTTATGCTGCCAAGTTTTGCACTTCCGATTGATGTTGCATACTACTTATGTTGACAGACATTGATATAAATAGACAATTTTGAGATACTTTTAAAATACAAAACTTGACTTTATGATTGCTAGTATAATAGCTTTGTTAGAGTTTGTAATTAATGAAATAAGGAGTTTATCTTGTGTACTTGAATCCGCATCTAAGTCAAGTGATACTGGGAGTTCCTACCTTACTGAATTTTGTGTTTGTTAATGCATTAAATATTCTTACTAAGACACTAAAAAATATCATGAACTCTTCATTCTCAGTACATTATTATTAAAGAAGTTTAACAGAATGTTGGGTTCACAGAGCGAAAACTATTTACTTCGATGATGCATTCAAAAAGAAACCTAAAACTTTTACATTATTTACTTAGTAAAGAATTGTATGTGTCAAAGTTCCTAACTAAACATTCATAAGTAAAAAGTCCAAAATATAGTCAACAATATCACTAAAAACACTTTTATCCCTGAAGTTCCGGTTTAAAGATGGTATAATCAGTTAACGGGTAATACGAGATATAAAAAACGCATAAAAATGACATCCCAGTGAAGTAAGATTATGTCTTTTTCTCTTCAGCCAGCTAATATTGAATTCAAGATACAAGGATAAATTGACCAGTCCCTCTGGCTTCAAGTACATTTACCAAATCAACTGCTTCTGTAGAGCCAGTTCCATTAAGAGTGCAACCCAGTAAATACAGCATCATATTTTTGAGTATCACCCCCCCACAGGTAATCAGAGAACGAAAGGAAACTATGGAGAGTGCTATTTTGACTGATCCAGTGGGCACTGTTACCTCATCGACACTAAGTCAACTTTTAAAGCCATGTACAGAGTCACGAAAAACTTCAACCATGCCTCCAGAATTCGTCTTGTACGTTCAGTAGAAGTCCTAGAAACACATATGAATAGGCTTAATATTTATGAATAGGTATTTGTTCAGCCTCATTATTAATCTAGCCATTCCGATTAAATACGCTTACTCTCCTTTAATTATTTCTGTTTTTTGTATTTTAACTTCTAGTCTTATTCTTGAGAAATCTGTTTCATTAATTTGACTAGTTTTCTTTGTAATATGTTCTTAAAGAGCACGAAACAGTTATATTCAACTGCTTAATTTCAATCTTAAACATTTCCTATTTATATTCCTACGTAACTAGTTCCAGTAATCAACCGATTACATAATTTCGTTTCATTTTTATTTTTAAATCGGTTGAGTTACTAATTTATTAATCCACCACTATATATTTGGTACTCAGTTCACACAATTACAAACTTATGTAATAGTCTAGAGCCTTGACGTCAAACCAATAGGAAAATATTTCTTCCCTTAACTTGTATTTTTAAAGGAAATGTTGATTCTTACAACACCAGTCGAATCGATCTACAGACGTTGAATTGATAGATATGAAGAACCAATATAGCTACTTCATTTTCACCCTATGTTACCATCAAATGAGTGATAATCACTAATTTTAGCGTTCCTGAACCAAACGTTCTTAGAGCTATTTCGAATGATCTCTGAAATACCGTTATGTTAGGTCTCTTTCCTCTAAACTGTGGGCTTATAAATATCTGGTTATGATTTACGGATCTAATGTATCTTATTATGACCTTTATGAAGAAGTACTAGTTTACGAACATTGCAGGGTATCCGTTTTTCGTCAGAGTATTACGTAGCACATTTATTTTCTCTTCAACAGCATAAATATTCTTTATGCCGAAAAAAATTACAGTATGGACGCCAATTTACAGGAGCGGTCAGGTTAGTGTTAAGAAAAGGTTATAATGAAATATAAATGTATATTATTTGAAAAGATGTGGTTTATAAACCATTTCGACTGAGAATTTTTTAGGGCATTCGTTAAACTTAAACTTAAGATATGTGAAATTCATAGTCAGAGACAAAATTACTTTAAAGTTTAAAGTCATTAACTGAATACACATGGTATCAGTCATAAACCTAGGAATTTCAGAGCTTACATTCATTAGTAGCATTTGAAGAACACAGATACACAAAAACGCTGCTCAGCAACGTCATGAGCGTCTTAGAATGACAAATATCACATTTTTCCCATCAAAAGTAAACCAAACAACTTAATCACTAGTGTTTGGCTTGGTGCTTTAAATTAATCTTGTGTTAAGTGTTAAATAGTGATCATTTTTACTGTTTGACTCTTTGATTTCTTCCTAAACTGTCCAGTGGACTTGACTTCTTGAAGCGAACTGATTTTAATGAAGTAACAATTTTTACTGGTGATGTAATATAAAATAACTAATCTTAACAGGAAATGTAAGTAAATCTTGGTTATGTTATGAAAATACTTATCCCACCGTAATCTTAGAATAAAAGCACAAATGAAAGCACACTGCTGAGGAGTACCATAATCGGACGAAAAAACCGTCCAGTGCTTTCAGATTTTATACGGTGGTCTAGCTTCGATTGACTCATGATTTCAACCACTGAAAGCCTTTTCTTGTTTTTACAAGAATGATTATTTGGATAAATTAGCATAATATTGGTTGTAGAAGACTGACCAAGTCATATTTTACTTTTGAAAAATATTGAAGACAGTAAGTGTTACTGAAATCTGTTCCCAATTTTGACAACATATACCTAGTACTGATTAGTTATACTAATAATTAAAGAACGTCTGTTTACCACAACAACAACAACAAAATGTCATCATTCATGGATTTTAGTAGTGTCTTTCCTACATGAGACGGAATCATAAGGACAGTTTGATGATTGCTTATTAAATATTATCATACATTGATTGTACATTTCCACTTATGATATATTCTCCTGAATTTTAATGATTAGTAACAATTTTCTTCTGACACAATGCTCGATTAGGAATATCTATGAAAATTCAGTATCCAATTTATGCTGATGAAACATGTCTGGTGACTGTAAACATCTAAGAAGAAATGATCATAAATTAATTTTTAATAGGCAGTACATTTCAACCTTTTGAAGCTTCTAGCAATAAACCAAAGTTTCCTTTTATACAATAATCAAGCCTTGACGTATTTGACTATCAATCATAATACAATTTCTGTCGGAGAATGAAATTAGTTTTTATCGGAGTTCACTTAACGTAGGTGATTTTGAATTACATTTCAAAAGAAGGATTAGAATTAAGACTGATATCAAAATATATTGAAAAATTACTGATACTTTTGGAATTAAAAAGATATCATCCTACACTTTATATCGTTAGATATCATTAGGTTAATGCGTCTATGTGATTCATCTTCAAGAAGTACTAAATTCTGTAGTAAAAGTTAATAATATCCATTCACTTAGCTGCAAAAGATATGTAGATACTTGCCAAAATTCAATTTGATTATTAACATAAATCTATTAATATCATGAGTATTAATCTAAAAAAAGATTTTTCCATGTAAATCTCTTTATGACAATTTTGGATGTTTCAATTTAGAGCTTTATCCGTAGAAAACAATATATATAGTTAAATTATCACTTTATTTATTACCATTCTATTATATGAAACTGCAATTATCATAAAAACTGTTATTAAGTTAACCAAACGGAACAAAAATAAAATAAAATAGAACGTGGATATTTAGAAAAATATAATTCAATGGGATTTCCTGTAATTTCAATATAAGCACTTTCAATATGGAAATGTAATTTTTAAAAAAACTACTATTATCAAGAGCTTTAGAAGTTTTTGACAAAAAAAAAGAAAAAAAACAAGTAAGGCATTTATTTGAAAGCAACTATTATTGGGAGTGTGATAATGTGTGCTTTATAAATAGTATGTCTAAAACGAGGGAGTTAATATACTGGATAGATTTTCTCAATTTTTTTTATCTTCATATTAGTTAAATCAAATGATGAGATACAAGTGGAACACCATCACGTTGTTTACCAGGATGCTCTGGTTTCCAATAGGAGGGATTTGAATCAGCTGGCAAAACAACTGAAACACCATCTCGAGAACTGACAATAATATCTGCAGCTTTTTCAGCCATCATTATGACAGGTGCATTTAAATTACCTGAAACAATTGATGGCATTATACTTGCATCAACAATACGAAGATTGTCAATGCCCCACACTTTACAGTTTGATTGAGTAACTGCTGCCTCTATTCTACCATTACCCAAATAACCATTGTGTATCTCATCATCACTTACAGCTTTACGACCATCAGGATTTTTACCCATACGGCAAGTGCAAGAAGGATGATATGCGCTATCACCAAAAGAACGTACAAATTCATCCAGTTGAGAATTTGATACTTTATCCTCACCTGGAGCCAGTTCTTTGCCTGCGAATTCTTTCGCTAATGCAGGCTGAGCAAATATTTCGCGTGACAAACGAATGGCTGCTCGCATTTCAGCTCGATCAGTTTCACAGGCTAAATAATTTGGGTCTATTTTTGGAGCAAAACCTAGACTTGCAGGAGACAATAAAATTTGGCCACGACTTCTTGACCTCATTGGTCCAACATGCACCTATATAATGTTATTAATGTTGATCAAAAATACTACATTAATTTGTTCGATAAAGTTCCAGTTGCAGAAATGTGTTAACTACTCGATGATATTGTAAAATTTTATATTGAATTTTAGTTTATTATTCATTTCTGTTTATTAACTTTGAAGATAGGTTTTATAAGGCATGTTTTAATTTTCAGAAAAGCTTTATTTCAAGCCGAACAGTTATGTACAATATTAAGTCAAGTTATTAATTCAGTTGCTTAACATCACTAGTTCTACTTACTTTTAATATAATTGAATACCTAATTTACGTTGGAACTGAAGTAAGTTCATTATTTCATTTTGTATGTACTGTCTGAGGCGAATACAGCAAGCAAAATGAAGTTATCAAATATATTATGTGACTAAGCATAACCAGAATATATATATATATATATATATATATATATATGGAAGCAATCAATAGTATAGACTTTATTGAATCTAAATTAAAAGTGAGTGAACTACAGGTATCATTGTGTCAGAATGCTGAACAAGAAAAAAGCTCGAAAAAGATCAATTGACATACAAACTTTCAAAAACCAACAATGATGGATCACAAATGTTGAAATAAGTGACATGACACAACAAACGAAAGTTGAGAGATGATACGTTGTTCAAGGCTAACGAATGAAAAATGAATGAACTCATATTACTGTAATCGATTTCAAACGACAATAACTAAAAACTCCAAACACAGATTGGTATTACTTGTTGAGCAATATCAGCATTTAATTAACACAATTTTAGAGTAGTTTGATAGACAGATTTACTCTGGCTTTATTACTATTTATTTTCTTACAATGTACATACGTGATCACTGAAAACAGAATGAGCGTATGGTGTTTTTATAAAAACGGCAAACAAGATGGACATTTCATAACACTATTTCAGTAATTTTATAAGGTCACTAGAAAAAACACAAGGATGACAAGGATGACAATGACCCACCTAGTTTTTCTATGTTGTTGTAATTATATTCTAGTCACACTTTAAACATTAATTATTACCAGTGTGAAGCTTTTGTCTTGAACTAACTGTACGTAAGATGCTTGTGTCGATTTCTATCAAAAGGTACAACATGATAATACAAAGATTAGATTTATTACTTTCAAAGTAGTCTTAAATATGGCCTGTTAATAGATAGAGAACAGTGCCTTCTTAAAAGATCACATTGATCCATATGTTATACTAGCTTCGATTTAATTTAGATATCTAGCAATAATCGCTCAGTTTTGTGACCAAGCTTTACATTTTTAATTCACTTAGAATGATGTCATATACAGTATTTATTGGAGTTTCCTATTTTTAGCCCGTTCACACGAAAACTAGCAACTACAAGAATAAAATGGGAGCGTGAGATCCTTACCTGAAATGCATGCTGACCACCCATTTTACGTCCATGATCATGTATTGTCGATGGGAGAAAATGAAACTGAATGTTAGGGTGAGAAATATTTGCTTCTGTTCTTACGAAACCACCACTTTCTAAATGAGTTGTCGCCGCCCAGCCCCGACGGAATAATATCCATTTTAAACCGATCCCAACCATAATATGTGGATATTTCCACTGAGCTTTGTAAAGCGTTATTGGCTATGCAAAAAAACAGAAACTGTTAACGAGAAATTCAGAGCTTATTTTATGAAAAGTTGTTTATTTACTACTTTATTCAAATTTAAACAAAGAAATAATATATTCTTAATCAGGTTCAAATTATTTTGTTTACGGCAAAAGACATACATTTTGACGTCAATCGCGAACTACTATGCAGTTTTCTTCGTGCATCGGTAACGAACAATAAACCCTTAATTTTAGAGTCTACATATTTTACTTTCTCTGAATACCTACAGGATGAATTCATTTATTATCCTTAAGAGAAATCCAATATCAATTTGTCCTTCTTTACAAAATAAATAAATACAATTATTCTAATATTCAAACTACATCTTAAATGACGCACAAAAGTACATGGAAAAAATTTAACAAACTTTATACAAAAACTGATACAAATCTTCAATAGAGCAATAAAACTATTAAAATGAATATGAAGCATCACTTGAATATACATGTGAAAAACATACATAGTTGTAAGCCATAAAAGAATAAGAAAAGTCCATCCTTCAAAACATCAGTATACAGTAACAATTTATACTTCACAAATAAACGGTTAACCCAACCAGCTAGATTAAACTTTCCTGACTGTGTGCCACTTAGGGTAAGCTCCTTTCTATCTAGATTATTTCAGAAATATCTGAGAAGTTGAGAAAAAACAACGCTGGTATAACAGTGAAAATGTTTTATTTGAATTTCTGGATTGGTTATGTCCTTGTATATTACTTTATCATGTTATGGCAGCTTGGAAATTAAAGTTGTCAGAGCAAAACTGTTTTCATAGTACGGCTTACTAAAATAAAGTACTGACTAATACCCTGCAAAATAACAGGTGATTACAATTTAAACATGGTATTGTCTAACGGGTTGCAATAACATTTGGAAATCACTAAATACCCACTGTATTTATGGTCTTTTTTCTATCTCCCTAGCATACAACACAATGTGGTATGGTTTTCTCGCATGTATGGTGAAGTATATTATGCTAATGGCTAAGACATAATGATTAGGCAAGTTTGAAAAGTTGACAAGGAAGAAATAGGACTCATGATAACAGTCTTCTTCTGTTACAGGAAGCTATTAGTTGGACTTATTAATATTCAAGTTAGTTACAAATCAGATGAAACATTTCTGTTACATTTCACCACTGTCCTTCATAAATTGCTAACAAAAGTTTCACGACAGCCACATATGCTTTAATGTTGATATCAGTCACCGGATTACGTGAATTATGAACACACATGAATACCTGTGTTTTCATGGAATTGTGAGCATCAAAAGAAATGGTTATTATTGTAAATCTATTTTCATTGATGTATGCAATCTGAATAAACAACTTAATTATGATATTATTAAATACCTTTTTACAAGCCTGCTGTACGTATAATTCTAAATGATCTTGTAAATTTTGTCCGACACCTGGTAAATGATGCCAAGCATCTATTCCAATTGAGCGTAAATAATCTACATTACCAATCCCCGATAACATTAGTAAGTGTGGTGAGTTTATAGCTCCTCCTGATAAGATCACTTCAGATTCTGCTCTAGCCTTTTGAATTTGAAACAAATAAAAATAAAACGAAACCTGGGTGTCTTTAGTTAGAATAAATGAAACTTTAGTATTAAGTGAAAGATGATGTTTAGACAAATAATTAACTAACTGAGAGTTGAAATAGTATAAAGAAGAAATTAACAATTTTAGGTTGCTTCCAGTACATTGTGATAATTCCAATACCGAGTAGAGTTACTTTGTGCTACATATCGAAATCTCTAATGATTTTGACGTTATAATCTATTTTTATCAATCACATTTTAAGTGGTAAATGCTTGTATTTTAAAAAGTAAATTCCTTCTTAAGGCTCCAAACTGAATCACCTTAAAAGTTAGTGGCAGTTAACCATAATATAATTCCTGACTAAAGGATAATGGCAAAGGCAAAATTATGCTGAATTTTTGAACTTACGTTGTAGATATGATATAATTTTTTCTCAGGCTCAATGAAGAATTTCTAAGGTTGTGTAATATAGATAAACAGATAAAAAAGTCTGTCATACTTCAGAAAGATGAGTAAGCGAGAAGTAGCGAATGTAAACTACCCATATTTATGGACTTACAAAAATTGTTTATATATACCAGGCAACACAAACAGACGCTGACACATTAGAGAAAGAAATCAATAATACATGAAAATTGAATTGGGGAAACAACTTGTTGACACTAAAGTGCTCACATCTCTGTAAATTTATCATCATTCGTAATTCTATTGTATTACAGCTCATCCTATAGGGGCAGATAATTATCGCACATTATAAAAAGTAAATTAACATGAATAATTTAAACTAAACTTTTAGAAAGACATTCTTACCTCATGAACTTGGCCGTTTTTGCTGTATTTTACACCGACCGCCCTTTTATTTTCAAAAAGTATTTGCGTGACTAGTGCATTTGTTTCAACAGTTAAGTTAGAACTAGACTTCATAGCTGGATGTAAATAAGCTGTGGAAGCTGAACACCTTTCACCGTTTTTAATAGTCATATCAAAGTAGCCCATGCCCTCCTTAAAAATTGTTACGTCAAAATCCATTTATAAGCATTTAAATATAAAAATAAATTAAGTTATAGACAATAATAAATATAAAGGAATATAAATATTTGTATATATACCACTAAGCAGTTAAATTTTCGTCACCAAGTGTCAAATTTCTTAAACGTAATTGAAATCAGAATTTCGACCTTCGGTTTCGGTATCATTTATGCCCTGTGACAAAACGCCACAGTTATGTTGATACAGTTAGCGGATATACATTAATTCTGAAGTTACATAAATCACAAAACTTTATGATCCATACAAAAGCCATATTCAAACTTATATTCGAAATTCATTTTAAACAAATGATTGAGCAGCACTCTGTAGCATTAATATATTTGTTTATTCTTGACTTAAGTGTTTATATTCCAAGTAAATCGCTAATTCTTCGACATTAAAACAAAAAATCAAAAATACAATTTTTTGTATATAGTCGTCACAAATTAGTCTAAAACGTAGAATACTACTAATCCAGATGATAGTAGTGTGGCTATTAGTACAAATTATTAGTGACGTGAACTACTACACTATTATACTTAAAATGATTCCGAGTTAAGATCCTGTAATATTTTGAAGGCAATTCGACTATAAACATGTTTGTGATGTACTTTCCCTTTATCATGAGCAGTGATGGAAAACTTTCCAAAATAACATTTACTTGTGTTTTAATCTATGAAAGACGTTTTACTACTATTCCCATAAACAATGGGTTTTTGGATAAAACTCTGAAAGATTTCTAATTCTATTCTATTATGAACTCAATGATTAAATTGATCTACCTGACTATAAAGTAAATTAAAGAATTACTCAGTGATGTTAGTCAAAACAAAAGGTTGACGTTGTTATCATTGTTGACTGACATTTGGTAGATGGACAATGAAAGATACGGATCAGTGAACAACTTTCTATTCCCAAATAAACAAACCACCAAGGGTGTTCCTACACATAATCAAACATAGAACCATTTAGTCCCAAAGTAAGCATGATAACTTCAGATCACTAGAACGGGATCCAGTGGTTTACATTTCTAAAGTTTATTTGGTCTTCGATCTCGCAAGATCAATATTCGATACCAAAGTATGGATGAATTCCATGATTCGTTGCCTTTTATTTGAGCTTAGGCTATTCTTCACAAAGTTAGCCACTCATGGGAATTGAGTTCTCGAATGACTCTCGAGCCACTTATGGTACATAATTAAAGTAACTTAAAACAGATCACGCTTCAAAAGCCTTAATAGCGAAAAGCATAACATCATCACTATGTCTCGAAGGTCATAGTAATCAATCGGCAAAGGTCTGAAATATAAGTGTCGAAACATTAGTCTTACTTGTTGATACCCATTTACATCATCAGTAAACGGATAACCAGCCTGTTTGCCTGCCTCAATCCAGGCTGAATGTAATGGGTGATTAGTTTTGGCTCTGGATACATATAATGGACCATTAGAACCTCTATATTGGTTCCCATTGAGTTCATGAGTCTGAGCTTTGCGAAAATATGGCAAGCAGTTTGCATAATTCCAACCTATATGAGAAAGATTTCCATAAATAAAAGATTGATATTTTGACAATTTTTCAGTACAAACGTCCTTGTTTTCATCATTTAAACGTTTGGAGAAAAGCCTACATCATCAGGCGGGAAAACAGTGAATACCTAGAACTTCCGTTCATTTTTGAAACTTTGTATTTGTAGAAATTCTAGCTTAGATCTGAAACCAAATAAATTTTCTTCGCTCATCCATAATGCACCACCGGTGAATATAGTACACCTCCTGAAATACATATTTCTCATTCTTTTACTTTGATTCAAAGACAATGTTTCACATATTCAATGTAAGCTACTATCAAGTAGTGAAAAACACACAACTTACACGAATTATTTTAATAACTAGATTTTAATTTAAAAACACGTGTCATTTGGAGACCGTTAAATAATGTTTATAAATAGTCATAATGGAAAAAAAATATGGAGAAGAGAAGGCAATCAAGTTATACCAGGATATCTGATTTACAAACTCAAAGCGAGAAATACTGTGTGTATACAACATGCAAAACAAATAAATGCTTGACAGAGGGTAGATTCAGAACATACGAAATTTATGTAAATAATGTGTAGTTAACCACTTTGTCAAGTCCTAAGATCTGTGAAATACAGCTCATACGTATGTCGGTATTCTTTGAAGAATAACTGCGAAATTTTTCATGGACACTTAATCTTAAAAGTTTGTACATATATCTTTTTCAACGTCATTCATCAGAGGTTAGACTTAATGCCAAAACATACAAATTCTACTATATTCTCCACAGTATGACTACTGGTCTTCCAGCTGTTAAAGTAAACCGTGTATAGCAATCTGGTTGTTGTAAAAGATACAAGGCGTCCTAAATTCCACTGCTAACCACTATCCATCTTTGCTTATAAAGCTTGTGAATTGGGGCAATATCGAGGCAATAGGCACAGTATGCACGTATGCCAATAACAGACTGATCAATTGCAGTCTTAAACCTTGATAGGAAGATTCAAGCAAAAACAATACCAAGTGAATACAAAGCACAGTGTTGAAACTTTTAGCTTCAGGTCCAAAGAGAATTTGACTTAAACAATGAACGGAGTAACTGATCGAAATATTTTTATAGATTGAATCCAATAGCAATTTATCATTAGAATATTAATTTTAAAAAAGTATCGTTTAATTACCATCAGCACCCTCCAATTCCCACCTATCATAATCTAACGGATGACCTCGAATATAGACCATGGCATTTAAAGATGAACTTCCACCAAGAACACGACCTCGGGGCCAGTACATAGTACGGTCATTCATATGTCTTTGAGGAACAGTGTGATAATACCAATTGTATCTATAAATAATATCGTATGAGAAAAATCCATGAACCCAATTAAGTCATTAAACATGCATCAGAATATAACTTTCCGGGAGTGAAAGCAGCTAACAACGATAAAACACAACAGAACCACCTATTTTTCAAAAACTGTGGATTAAGAATGATACATTTACAAGGAAACAAAGAAAAGTTGGTCATAAAATTATTTACAGTGTATTAAGCTGTATGTTTTATAAGGGTGTTAACTGATAATAACATGTACTGCGAATCATAAGATGTGAACCTGTAATTTTTTTGTAATTTTCTAGTCGTTAACTGATAGTTTATACTTAAACTTCATTTTATTATTCTTGAAACTCAAGCAAGATGTAGAACTGTAAGTAGCGCAAGCGAACTAAAGCGTAGGTGTCGTTCATTAGTGGACAACAAATTTGTCTAACAAAGCGCCAGGTCAATTATATTTATCCCGGCGGTTCGAGTCTTGATATGGACAGAGCTATCTTTTATAATAGTATTGATGTGACAGTCCAAATAATCTGACTACGTATATCTCTTTTAGTTCTCACAAGACAAAATAAGTATCTAGAATCCAAACAATTATCATTCATTAAAAATCAGTAATCATATTGTTGGGGATGTCAGATCCCCAGAACTCACTTGATAAATACCTTATTTTTGTAATTTTATTTTAAAAATTCGAATTTCTTGTTTTCGAGCCAAACGCGCCCATTTTCACCTTTATATTGTATTTCCCACTTGGGAGAACCTTGAACGTTATTGGTTCGTTGTATCTTTTCGCATGCTATTTTGTAACGCTTCTCAAGGACAATTTTGTGCTGTATATATACGTTTGATTTGTGCTTGTTGTTATTGCCTGTGCTTATGGTTGCTTGCGGAATATACTTCCCCATTTCAGACTTGGACTTCTCTCTCTAGTTAGTGGGACTGGGACGCGTCAAAACAGCTCACTTTCTGTCATTGTGTCATAGAGTCTTCATTCCGTTATCAGATTAAGTGAACTCGCAATCGCTTCAAACAGCACATATGTTTAAAAACCCGATTCTGTCTTTATGTAAAGAATCGTACAGACGCTAAACTTTATATCATTAACTTAAAAGTTGTAAGCACTGTTCGTTGTAAAAATCCTTTTTTCAAACAATATCTGCCTATAGTATTCAGGCCCGAATGATCTTATAACTATTTTTCATTTCTGCCTGAGCATTTTACGATACTTACTTGGCCAACGGTATTTTTGTACGCAATTCTAGTAACTGATGCAAAGAATAATTTTAAATCACATATATATTGAATCGATTTTATCAAACAATTCGCATACGGACCCTATCACTGTGAATAAAGATCATGTATTTTCATCTGACAATGAATAACTACAATAAATCTAGGTATTATTTTTCTCTGAATACAATGGTCTATAGCTTGTAAGCTCTCATCGCTTCTGAACTTGCACACAGGGTATAAATGTTATCAAAAGAAATCAGAACATACATATAAACATGAAATTTCTCATAGTGTCAATGCTGTACAACTTATCGAAATAATAGCTTTACGCTTTATTACAATTTTATTTTTCAGCACTGTTGGAGTTATTATGGAATAAATTCTGCCTAAACTTGATGTTTTAAAACTACTTACTACAGAAACTGCTAAGTCAACTCTCAGGAATATTGCAATTTGCTTACTTGATTTATATCAGGCTTTGATTTTTTATATTCTAACGACAGTATCTGAAACGCTGTCAAGATGAAACGACAAGACCATCCAAACCTCCTCATAATCATTCACTTTTAATAATGAAACTATCTTTGTGTTACTGTAATAAATGAACGCTCATGTGCGAGCAACCAGTGTACTGTATACAAAATTACAGAGTCCTTTCATCAATTGTGAAAATCATACGTTCAATACTTTATATGCGAATCCTCCATCAGTTGTCTCAAACCTCATCGTTTTTCCATTGCCATGAAAATTACTCTCTGTTCTCGTTCTCTTCGATTTGATCGTCCAAACTTTCTGCTGCCAGGCATCCCACTTTTGATTGGTGTTATATACTACTTATGTCTGTCGACATAAGTAGCATACACCTCAGTATGAGGTGATTTTATTTTAATAATCAGTGACTTTAATGGTTGTATCTACAATCACCACAGCACAGATTGCTTCTTGTTTGGTTTAGGCATCTGGTAACCAAAGTAACGTTTTTATTAACTATAATTCAATAAACCTGGCTAATGTACTTTTGTTAGTGTAAGGGGATTCGCGAAAATTGTAGAATTTTTACAGTCTAGATTACGAACTGATTTTAGCTAGACTGTTAGTGGAAACCTGGAAGTACTAAACAACCGTTTCTTCCTGGCATGGAACTTCACAGCAGTGCACATCCACTACTCCGCACCATGAGATCAAATCCAGCGTCTGTGGTCTGGATTAACCCTTATACTTACAAAGGCAGTGACCAAATGGAGACCTTTTTATTGACGTATTTTTAAATCACACTGGTTATTAAAAATTAGTTTCAACAAACTGTTTTATTATTTATATACACTTTTTATCTAAATGATTGACTTATTACTAGCTCCTGTATTAATTCGTATGTAAATTTTCTGCCCACCGTATTCTTCAGTAGCTTAGAAGCTCTGATAGTTTTAGTCTATTTTTCAGAAGAATGGTTAAATAACTGAAATACTATCACATGCAAATATAGGTCTATAAACTACTTAACTGACATTTAGAAATTTTATCATAACCGTATCCAATGATACTTTTATTGTAGATTGTGTTCTTTAAACTGATATGTATTTTGTATATAACAGGATAGTTTATATCATTAGTGAACTGACAAGCACATAGATAGTAGTGTGAAAAAAGTAACAACAAATAGATATGCATATAAATACACCAGTGACTGATGCACGTCATTATTATTGCTATAATCACTACGAAAATTATGTAAAATATTCAGCCTATTACGTGATTTCTGTTCAGAGTATGGACGTGATTCGTTCAGTAATGACTAAATTTTCAAACATGTTTTGTTTGGGGTTGGTGACGAATAATTACATTTGAGTGTTTATAATAATATTAATATTATCATGATCATCAGACCATATAATGAACACTATAGTTAAAATGAAGTGAATATATTCCTAATAACATACTTTATATTATAAATAGACAATATACAAATCACTATCCAATTTTTTTCTATCACGTCATAAATTCTAGCAAAAAACTAGACTATGGGTACAACACCATTTGTTTAAAACATACTTTTTGTGATATTAGCCAGTTTTTTCTTAAATTATTCAGTTGGTGTACTTAAAATCTTGATACAGATTCTCCGAATAAATGTAGGACGCGGAAAGTATGCGGCATAATGAGTTCAATACTTTTCACCTTGTTAACATACTGATGGAAGGTAAACGATAGAACAAAATGATAATTTATTTATCATAATCTGATTTCATTTACTTTCAAAGTCGACAACATATATCCATATAAAAGACTAGTTGATTATCTTGAGCGATAAAATAACAGATAAATATTGAAGCGAAAATGAAGTTGCGGACCCGTAAATAAGAGGTTACTGGAGTGAATCTTATTTTAAAGTAGGATGATTTGAACTCAAGTCATTGTTTCTGAATGAACAAGAAGATTTGTCAAAAAGTTTGACAACTTAATAGGAAGGTAATTTTTGATGGAAATGAGAGTAGTTATCAGAGTAGATTGTGTGACGTAGTCCTATCAGCTTCTTACTCAACGACCACATAATAAATAAATAGAACAATCACATTTTATTGATTTACTTAACCCAATCGACCCAAATCGGAACGTGATCTCTAATCTGTTTCACATCTAATCATTCAGTTAACCGAATAATTAAATTATTCGGTCTATATGACCTACATTGACTTGAATTATATCAGCATATCTCTGTGATTTCATCTTAATGTATATCCTACAGCTTTCGTCTTTGGATTAAATATATGATGAATAGCACTCCCCACGACCTTGTAAGTGTAAAATTGCTATTTAAAAAATGGGGACGACGAATAAATCTGATAATTCATTTGATCAGGCTGACAAAAGTTGTACCAACTACAAAAAAGTAGCACTTATGCATTTTTTACGGAGAACTATAACTGCTTAGTTGAATTAATTTAGTGGTTCTAACTCGTACATCATAAAATACCGTTTTAGATTCTACGATTAGTTAGGTATCATTCGACTTCATGCCTATGTTCAAGAGTGGTCACGAGTTTCATGTCAAATTAAAGTATGATTTATAATTGAGGGTAAGAATATAAACTATAAAAGTATAATTATAAAGTAAAACTGATTATGATTTTTTGTAAAATGATGATAGTTAACCCATTTTAGACACTCCAGTTGACAGAATTAAAGATATGTATCAAACGTGGATTGCCAATCCCTCAGCAGTGCATAAAATATTGATTCGACACCCCTTCGACCTACTTCCTTTGAGTTAAAGGAATTGGATTGAAAGGGTGTCGAGCCAATATTTTATGCAACGCTGAGGCATTGGCAATCCACGAACTCAAGCTCGAACTTTATATTCATCATACTTTTAGTATAAATATGAAGTGCATTTACCTGATGAATAATTCATTAACCTTTTTTTCCGCAGTGATATAATGCGCAATTTCAAAATAATGTCGTATAATATGTATCTCTGAATGTCGGTAAAGTAGACGGGATAACTGATATTTTTAAATACAACATGGAAAGTGATCACTTAATCGTTCTTACTAATATGTACAAATAGAAAACTAAAACCAATGCTTATATTTGTAACTATAACAATGTTCAAATGATCGAGACCCGGTATTTTATAGTCTAGCATACTTTCCCACTATTTCTTACTCAAACTAGACATATTAAAGTTTCCCCGAACCATAAGAAAAATCTATACCTTTTATTCAAGGATTCCAGCAAACCTCCGACCAAAATGATTATAAAACAGCTATCAAAGATTACCTCAGTTACGTCACTGACAATAACAATATTTATTTGGGACTTTGGTGCAATCAGTGCATCTATAGAAACGACTTGTGGTTATCTCTTGAGAACATAATGAATCAACAGTTCAAAGCACTTTAATTTCTATGGAGACGTAACATGAATTGTGAAAATTCTTTCACTAAATTATTTGTAATACATTGTTATATTTTTTGAACCTCAAAGCAACTCAGTTCAAACATTGTAAACAAATGAGTAAAATGTTTTATAAACATACAGGCATCACAAAACTTATTATTCATGGGAAACTGACAAACCGAACTAACAAAATGGCTTACTTATCGTGATAAAGATTGTACATAAGAGCAGCTGGCATCTTAATTGTCCATCTGGAAATTCCAACATCTGTAGGACCAGCTTCTAGAACCAGAACTTTACTAGAATTTTTTGTTTTAGGATGTGGTAAACTTAAACGATTGGCCAAAACACATCCAGCTGAACCAGCTCCAATTATAATGTATTCATAGGAATTCCTAAAGTCATTGGATTTTGCTATCGGCGTTTTATGATTAGATACGCTACACGATGTCTTAAACAGACGTTTTGTGATATGTTTGTGGTAATATTGGTGCTTTATAAGTCCACAATATTTTAGATAATATCCTTGTCCCAGCACTGAATTTAAGTAATTCATGAAGAGCAAAAACAATTATCTACAGTCAAGAAAACAGAAAGCATACTCTTATTAAAATTATTCGTCAGTTGGGGGGAATAAGCATTTTTCTATTGAGTAGTTAAATCTGTTTGTTCTAAGAAAGTTCTGTGATAGATTTTTGGGTATAATTAAATCATATGAGATAAAGTACACACCGTCATATAACGAATCGTTAAATAAATCCTACATCTGTTTGTGAAATATGTGTAACAAAATAATACTCCTAATTAAAGTACATTATAGTAAGATATTAAATGAGATAACATTAAAGCTCATAGAGTAAGAATCTATAAATAATATTCATATATTGGTTGAACAAACTAAATAACATATCACATTCTCATTTACATTAAAAGCGTTACCTTACAAAGTAATATCATGTAGTAGATTAAGTGAGTTTCGATTGTTTCAAGATCTCCTGGATAATTCATATTAACAAAAGAAATAAAGAATTTATTCGTCTTATTATTTAGTGGTTAGTGGTCTATTCAAAATTAGCATTTTTTCTTAGTTGAATATCATATTAAAGCACCTATAGAATTATTAAATAGCTAAATCCTTTCACATTATATTTCATTTCAAGTTTAGAGCTCTAATAAACTCAATAAAATACAAATATTTGCTAGAAGTAGGTACTCACCAATAAATAGAGTGTATAATTATTGTATATTGGCTAACAGATGCATGCAACAACTCATGTAAAACATCAGAAAGTAATAAATAATAACTAGTTTGAGTTTAGGAAATCGTGAGTTGTTAACTTTATCATCTAGAACATAGTAATAATTAAACAACTAAACCAATGTGGTACTGCTAGAACGGTCTTAATTCAGTTCAATCTATAGGGATATATTCGTGCCAGTGATTGCTCAATTTACTTTGTATGAGAATTGTCTAGAAATAATGAGACTTGAAGTTCTGTTGATTTTTGTACATTTAAACGACCGGTGAACTATTAATCGTTTTAGGTTTAGATAAGCTAAGTATTTTCTTGGATTTTTTATTGAATCATTATTAGCAACGTTTTCTAAAAATCACTTGTTAAATGACTGACTTGTCAAAACACCTAGGCTGAATCAGGATTTGGGTCATTGTTTCCTTAGATGTTAGTCAGGAAATCTATAGACTAGAATATAAGACAGAAAATTTAACAGGTTTTCAACTTCTCTTCATCATTACGTCATAAACATGGACTGTATCCAAGTTACTGGCAAGTGATTATTCTTAAAGCTTCATATCAACTACCCAGTCAGTATATCTGATCTCTTATGTTAATGAATAATGGAAACGAGTGAACATTGCATGATGGAAGTTAATAAAAAAACACTAAGAAATGTTGAGTTTCAACAGACAATCATTCGAATTCACAAAAAGGAATTTTAGGTAAAATGCTTCTATTAGCATCAATCAACTTGATATCTAAATTATCCATAACAACCGTCATCGGAAATAATTAAAAAATGGTTACTACTGTCATTAAAAAAATTTCAAGGAAGATATTTCGGAAGAAGGAATTATAAAATAAGTTTACATCTTTTGTGGTATAAAGTACAAAGGAAATGAAATCAGAATTGAATAAAGTTTCTAAGAAGTATTCATAACTTAAAAAAATATGACACAATGAATTTGTTGATTTTGTACCATCCTTTTATGGATTGTTTTATTTCTTCCTTCAAACTACCTTTAATCAATGAATATATTAGGGAGATGAGATAAGTTTGGTAAAATTAGGTCTGAATAGGAGATTAGGTCGGTTGCCGATGAAAATCCAGATAACAGTCCAACAGTAAGGCCAACCTTAGCCGATCGACCGGACATTAAGTCTGCAGGTGTATCACCGACAATGACTGTTTCTTCAGGTTTACACTACAAAAAGAAGAAGTGTCTTCAATATACTAATGAGCATTCAAATGGTTGAAAACACAGTGAAGGCAGAACATGTAAAAAAGTACCATCAATCTGTTTTGTTTTTATGCCATGTATGATCAGTGACAATAAATAACCAATCTTAAACAATCAATTTGATAGTTTGACAGGCCGTGATCAGCGTAAATTAATGTTTAGGGAAATGTTTTGTTTATCACACAGTGAGATTTAATTTCTCATTATAGTTAAGGACATTTAAATTTAAGAAATTTCAAGTGAATTAACTGCACATTATGTAAAGTCTGGTGACCTCGAAAATTCTTCTTCCTAAACCACTTATCATTTAGAACACTATATCAACTTCTTTCCAAAGCTATTATATTATACGTTTATACATAATTTATCCTCACAAAAGTTACTCTTTCATAGTGCGATCACTATTCCAGTTAATAACTTTATTTCGAATCTCCAAAACACTAGGCTATTCACACAAACGTGTGAATTCATAGATGGTATGTTTGACCCTGGAAGGGAGTGTGCGACCTGTCACCATCTTTAAGCTGACCAACTTATTAAAATACTTTTATAAAGCAAAATCAACATCTAATAATAATGACTTTCACTTACGATCACAAAAGGTATGAATTAAAGTAAATAAAATATGACTCTGTCTAACAGTTGAGATTCATTTATGGTGGTCACGGATAACACCAGCTTCAAACAATTTCTATAAATTCCCTGTTTCACTACCAGACGAACGATACTGATAGAAATATCAATAAAACTCTGACATGCGAAAACATTGAGTGATGGGTCTTAAATAATTTAAACAAAATCTAAAATAATAAAAGAAAAATCTCTTACTCCAACTTTGTCAATGATTTGGAGCACAGTATGTGGTAAAGGTTTTGGGTGACAACCGGCATCCTCAGCCGACACTATGATATTTATGTAGTCATGCAATTTTAGGTTTAACAAGAAATCGTCGCAGGCTTTTCGGCTGTCTGAACTATTTATAGCTACTTGTAGACCGATTTCCCTAAGTTTCTTAACTGTTTCAACTGTATCAGATATAGTTATACCTGGTATAGAGCTTGGACAGATCCATATCTAAAATTATATAACACGTAAATTGAAAGAAAATGAACAACAACTTACATATAAAACAAATTAACTAAACTATAGTAAACGATGCTTGAATTTCACAAATCGCTACATTTCTCAGTAACATTATTTTGAGTAACAGGAGAGCTAAATTAAAATATGATGCAACTATGTACGAGGAATGGTTGAGGATTAGGTTACCAAAGAAATGGAAGACTAATAGCTATTTCCTTCAGAAGACACAGCTTGTTTTAAGTGTGGTGGAAATGGCCTTAACGAATCTCAAAAAACGTAAGTTTAACTATTGGTCAACCATTTTGGTAGACTCCAAAGTTCCTACATAGTGCTCTATGTCGAGTTCAGTTTTTTCATTTTTGAAGTCTAGGTCCCACTGAAACAACCGAAAAAAATATGCCATTTGGTTTTTTCGAGAATGGTCATTACTCTAGAAGTAGTAGCACAGTACCTTTATAGCAACCTTTCATAGAAGGATAACAGTTCGAATAACTTCTGTTGTTCGTCTGAGTACTCTAAGTAGTTGGTCCTCCTGAAAAATGCCGTGAAATTCGCCTCAGTTACTAAGTCAGAAACATAGCTAACCAGGCACAAGCCAGATTGCCACAAAGCACATTAAAACAAAGATGGAAAATTGGAGGAACGAAAAGTATTTAAAATAATAGTTATAATTATGACAGAATTTGTAAAATACACAGCACATATTGAAGATAGCTACTTATAATGGTGATCTTCAAAAACTCCCTCTCAGTTTCTACATCTACATTTAAATAACTCATTAAGATTAATGGAATTGCATAACTGAGAAACAGACTGACGGGAAAAAATGAACTTATTCATGCCTATGGGTATCTTTTAATGACATGCAGACGAAAACATTTCATAAATTCTAAATGTATTTCACTAGAAAAAGTTCTGATCATTTAAAAATATCCGCTGATATATAAACCTTCTAGAAACGATGCAGGACCTGGTGAAAACATGAATCGTTTCTGTTCACTACACTTTTATAATTATGATGAAATGAAATCATTTAGTTGAATCTAAAAGCATCAGAAATGAAAATATCGCTTATAGTTCAAAAAGCTGACTTAATGAATATATCCACACTAGAACTGACGAAATCTAAGGACAGGGGGTACGAGGGAATTCTAAACAATGAATGAAGAATGGATTCATCCAGGCTCTTGCTAACAATTTCGATAAACTTTACTCTCGGACACCACCTGCTAGCTACAGTTCCAACAATGATCTTAACTAGCAAGAGTGAATCTTCTGATAAACCGCAACACAACAGTCAGTGACTTTGTGAGGTGATTCCCTACTTCTGTTTCAGACCCACCAGTCTTCTCCTATCCTGAGCCATCATAGCTCGCTGTATTAAGTGGTTGATAGGTTTAAGAACATGAATCCCTGGCACCTCATTCGACAAAAACCCATAACTTTATTTCCAAGTGTGATACATTTATCTAGTGTCTGGCGATTATTTCTAGCATTATTTACTTTGTCGCTTCAACGTACGTGAGACATACTGTGTAATGCACAGAATACCTATGTATAATGGATACTTTTTAATAGACAAACTAAAACCTGACCTTGGCCTCAGATGGTGCAATGTGATAGAAGCCGAACTGGTATCTTGTATCTTTGATGAAATTTTGTCAACCAGTGAGACATAATTGTTTCACATAGTAAACTTATGAATATGTAAGTCATATTGGAACATAATTTTAAAACATTTTGTTTTGATTTAGGATACAAGTTCGAAACCTAACATCAATAGTTATTTTGTTGTAATCTTCTACCTTACATGTAAAAAAAATATATTTGGCAACCATGGCTTACCTGGTTTACTATCTGGTCAGACTCCTTGACTCCGTAACCTTTTAGTATGAGCAAATACCGCAGGCACTCTTCAATAAACACCGTAGATCCTCCAGCTAAAATACCATTAGATATTTTTCGCGTCTCAGAAGAGTAACCCAGTATGCTCAAAAATGTACATGCTAGATCAGGAGACGTTTTTTCCGATAATCTGTAAGATGTTAGGAGCAAAATGTTTTCAGGTTACTAACATTAACTAATTAGGAAACAAACAGTGAAAACGATTTTTTAAAGAAACTTGTTAGGGTTGCTGTTCATTGTTTAGCTTTGATGAACTCAAAATGCCTTAAATCCCAGAAGAAAAAGAAGAAGGGGTTCAGAGAAACAAAAAGCTTATTCTACAAAAGATTTTAACTAGGAACCGCTGCATTAACATATTCGGGAAGGATAAATCTATGGGTTAAATTTAACTGAAATTACTTACTGTGAATGGTTGTAAAAAATTAGTATTTAAAACCATAGCGTTCAAATGAAATCTCAAAGCCATAGAGACAAACTAAATGCTATCCGGTTAGGTCACACTATCTTGTGAAACTGCACTAGCAGTCACCAAATGAAGTTGCTCCAAAATACTCACAGGATAAAAGCAATTAACCTCCTAGAAAATTGAGTTACGGTAAACCAATTTTAAATAGGTAATATACTTGCCTAAAATCTTGATAGGTCAGCAGGAATTTTTCATCCAGCAGCAGAAAAATACATATGAATTATCTAAAGTAAGGGGAGCTAAGAAGACCATGAAGTATTTTTTCTAAGCTTTATTAACAAAAATGGTTTATTATGTTCACTGGCTCGTCTTCTAAACACCTTCAATTAACAGTAATCCACATCCAGAAGTCTTATCTTTGTACTCGAAAGAAGTTCGTAAAGCCCCTTCCCCTACCTGGCCTATCTACGTAGAGCATTTAAGAGAGAGTAAGTCAACACTCACAAATTTTCTAAGATTTTCGATAACGCTAGTGTTCCTAAATAATTTTAATATTTATTGATTCTTAATCAATTCTACCATTGTGGTGCGTGTTACTTATGTCAACAGAAATAAGCAGTATGCAACAACGATCGAAAGTAGGAAACCTGCAAGCAGATTGTTGAGACGATCAAATCGAAGAGAACGAGGACAGGGAGTAATTCTTGTGGCAATGGAAAAACGATGAAGTTTGAGACGATTGGTGGAGCTTTTGTAAATGAAGTATTGAACGCATGGTTTTTACAATTGATGGAAGGACTCTGTAATTTTTCAAGAAATACATTGATTGTCCCCACCTGTGTTCTTATTCACTAGACTATTACTAAATGTCCGAGTGGGAATTTTTGTTTTGTTCATAAAGCTAAAATTGTATTTTAACTGTACGTGATGTAAAAGTATGATATCACATGAGATATTAAAATTAATAATATTTGATAACTTTTATGACACCAAAATACTAATTACAGTCAAAAACAAACCTCTAAGAGTCGGGTGAATGTAATGTAATTAAATTTTACTAGATTTAAACCATATTCAAATAATATCTGATAATCAACACAACAGTTAGATATGTTAGATTAAAACTATTTTTAATATCAATCTATTTGATGACAGAAAATCCCCCCTGACACAATCATGTGAAATAAATATTATTTGTTGTCAATACAACCAATTTGACCAACAAGTATAAGTAATTTCAACAAACACGTGCACAATCAAATTACGCGTTTAACAGGACGTGCGAAACCTTAAACAATAATAAATGGCCGGACATTAGGTCGTAAATTAAAGCCGGTTTCGAATTAGCACTTTTTCTAATATTAAACAAAAGTGGGTACCCTAATAAACATAGAATGTAAATGTCTAATTTTCGAGGGCTTGTGGAAACAATACGCTTAGCCTGAACTAACAGGTCATGAATAAGAAGAAAAAGCATTTAGTGCACTAAAACCTCACTAAGAATAACTAAAACACTCAAACAAATGTGCGGATATTTTAATATCCAACACTATCTGGTTTATGATGTTTAGAAACGTACAGCGTTCATACTCCACAAAAACTTGTGAACGTGTAATTCTAATTTAAAGGAAGTAGTTGTCGAAGACTGACCTTATTTCCGGGTCCACTTAGAGCCAAATAGCATAAGACAGCCATTTTATTCTGACACGGAACTTTTAGTGGTGAAAACAAAATAGTTTGTTGTGGATGGGTTGGTGTAATGGGGATCAAAAAACGACCGTTTGTTTCCAGAAATTTACATTTGTTCTACATGTAAAAAGATCCGCATGGAGTTTGCATGAAACTTGGATATTCTGCTTACCACTTCTTAGCTGATTATTTGCTAAATTTTAACTTCACCATAGATTATGAGAGTTTTACATCTATTTTGTCATAATAACTATCAAAATGGTGTTGTTTTTCTACTGCAACCTAAATGTCCATACGAAAATAATGACATTTTACCGTAAAAATCAGGATAGAAAGTGTCCAAATTAAAACTTTTGTAGCACCTTGAAACTACTTTAGCCAATAAATTGCCCACGGTAAATATATTCCTCGATTTTTCTTAAAATTAAGCCTAAATATTTTTAGTTCGTTTAAAAAAAATAGTGTAACGGCAAACTGACTTCATTAAACTTATATTCGAAACTCAACTCTTACAAAACCAAACCTGAGTAAATTTAACACTACAAAGATTGTTACCTAACCTTTTAAATAAGTACAAAGTTTCAAATTCTAAACAAAGTTTGGCAAAATCACTGGAGATTCAGTTTTTATTGCGTACAAGTATGTTACTTATTACAATATCAGTGTTCGTTATGTTTATTCCATAATCCCGCACAATTATCTGACTTTGAGTATAAAATGAAATGTAACAATATATGAGTTCTGGGTGCATTTTAGAAATCGACTTGTAAATCTTGAGATAACCAGATTAAAAACTGTTCAATGACCACCACTAATTATCCAGTATCAGACAGCCTGAAACATGATAACAGTTTGACTTATTTGATGGTTATATCTCGTAAAAATAGTAGACATAATATAACATAAGCATAACATGCATTTAATTTCCTGTGGAGTTCATGCTTATATCACTAAATATAAAGATATGATAATGTTAGTCCCAGTGTTTTGATGGCAAAATAAACAATAAAAACCCTTTCTATCTCAAGAGTACCTCAGAATTTATATAAAACACCAGAAACAATGACTTACCTTATGTAGACTTTCTCACACCATTCAGCCCAACGGGGATGTACATTGATAAAACTCCCATCTTTGTCAATAATAACCAGTTTAAACTTTTGATTTGACAGCTTTTGATGTAACACGTTGTTACCGAGCAAAATTTGTCTGATTGGTAGATTAAGATCAGGCAACACGATTGGCAATATATGACCCACAGATGGCACAATATGTAACTTAGGTTTTGAATGGTATGATTTAACCTCGTTTAAATTACTTTTACCCTCAATTTCAGAATGCTTAAGCCAGGTTTCCTCCAAACCATTTTGTTGACCGATTCCACTAAGAACACCAATACATAAACCTAGATTAGCATTCTTTGAGTAAAATGTAAAAAGGGAACTATCATACCTCAAATATTTTGAAGTATTTATTAAGAATGATGTATTATACTGTGAAAGGTACATGAGTTATGCTAAGAAGTTCAGATAGGTTCATTATCTGCCTGCTCAATTCGTACAACAGTTGTTCTAAGACTAGCGTTTGTGAGTTTAATATAATAGTGACACCTTTTATCCTTCTAGAAGCTAACTAACAAACGTTTAGGACTTGGTTTTATAAGAGCTTTTTCACTTTTTATTGAATGTTAATTAATCCTGTAATAATAAATTTTGCTCATCTACAAACAGAACAAATTTGTATTGTTAAAAAACTAGAACCACAAAAATAATGCAAAGAGTATACTGCTTACGTTTTTTGAGATTAAACCATTTCAGACAAAAATTGATTAAAAATGTTAGAGGTCGATCATTTTCACCTGAATTTCCTGAGTTGCAATTTATAATATTGCTCAACACGTAAAACTGACTTGTTTTCAAACCATAACTTACTTTTGCAAAAGCAATGTCCGTCGAGGTATCTCCTATCATAACTGTTTCTTCAGGTGACACATGGAGTTCCCTACATATGAATTCCGCGTTATCTGGATGCGGTTTCGGAAGTCTACCAGGGTCATCACCGCACACAATAACATCTAATAGATGTAAAACATCTAAAACTGCCAGAGCTTGTACTGTCCCTACAATTATTTAAAAGTAAACCACATTAGATTCTTCCAATTTAAATTACACACAAAACTTGATTGACGGTCTAGTAATACATTGTTTTATTTTACTCTTGAAAGTCAAGAACTATCAGACTTAGTATTTCTTTTTAATACAGCCAAATATTGCTCAGAAAAGTGTTATTTACTTGGTTTTTAGCCCATTTAATTTTTCGCTATGATTCATGTAAACGGTTTAGTTCCTTTTAATTTATACTGCCAAAAGCTTTTAACGTTTGAAATGACTGAAATATCGTGTATTCACAATTTCGACTAAGAAACTGAAATCCTAGTCGATGACTGTTTTCAGCAAACCTAATTTTAACAACTGTTGTATTCTGTATCAAACGTGTGCAAAGTTTAGATACAAAACTTTTTCAATTGTTGAAAAGCTAATAAATAGCTCACCAATATCATTATTGTAAAGTCTTGCCACTATTTTGTTAGTAATTTTTATTTCCCTTACTCTACATTTATCTTTGTTGGTAACGTTATCATGAAATAGCTGAGACTTGGGACTAAAATCTAAGGGCTTGTTGGAACGATATTGCTTTCAATGTTCAAATATTTTAAGATCTTTGTCATAAATCGTGTTGATATGCCTACACTACGAAAGATATTCAAGTGTTCACTACTACACCAAACCATGACCAACATGCTAAAATTACTTGCTCTTGTTCTTATATCTCCAATTACACAGTGATTTACTCACCATCAAAACAGTAAATATCTCCTGTTACAGGATCGACTTACCTTTCCGACTGTCGGATGTGCAAATAGCGGTCTTGATTGAGTGCTGTCTCAAAGTAGTTAACATGCTTTTCATATCAGTCAACTGAACAACGTGCTCAGGTGAAAGTGATAATGCTTTAACATGCTTAGACACAATGGACTGAGCCATGCTTTTTGTAATGCCGTGAGAAACTAACAAGTTTGTCAGAGCGATTATTACTTGTTCTTCAGTACCTTCAGCTAAAACACCTTTAAAAAGGTCAGAATTAAAATGAAAAAAGTTAAAACCTGGATTGATAATGTGAGTTTTTGGGCAGCACCCAAGAGTAGTCAATATCTCGAAACCTATATCCCGAGAAATGTCACTAGAAATGCTTCATCATTGGGGCAGATAAATAGGTATTTATATAGTGACAGTACTTTTTTGCAATAGTCCGTGCCCAAGGTATCCACATTGAGTTAAAGCAAATAATAGTTCCATCTTTATCAAAAATAACTGCTTTGTACATTGGCTTTCTAGACGAAACTAAATACGTTGATGGATCCAAAAAACCATCGGGCCTAACAAAACATTGTATGATGTTGAATGGTGATTTGAATGTACACAGATGAGTTTGACAAACGACCAAAACATCATTGTACGGATATCGTCTATAAGCCTTCAATATTAAATTCGTAGCTTTTCTGAAAAGCTTCATATCTAAAGCGATACCCTCTTCACGCAAAGTATCTACTGAGATTTAAATTGGAAGAATTATCTTGTGTGGTCTGTAAAAATGTAAAAATAAATAAACACAACATTATAGCACCAAAGCACTTAACATCCTATCCAATGCAGTTGCTTTAAAACATGCAATACACGCGTGTGAATGAAAAATTGTTTATTCAAAAGCGCAAACACCAGGACTATTTTATATGTTTGACAAAAATGCAAGGTCTCATTATGATACTTTGAAAATTTAAAACAAATAAAATTTCGAAGAAATTAATGAGTATGATGAAACTTATATAAAACAACTTTTTTGTTCAGTTCTTCACGCTTAAAAGTCTGTTTTTAGGATAACTTGTACTTTCTCAGCTTTCAAATGACTTTGTAGTAAGAAATAAAGCTAGCTTGTAATTTTATTTAAGCGACCTTCAGACATTCGCCACAAGGCGACCACTTGATATTTGAAGTCTCCCAGATAGGTGGCGTGTATGTTATATACTTCAATTTACTTGCATGCAAGTTATAAAATATATCCAGTTTATGTGTAACACGTAAGCTAACATGCGTTCGTGGACTTACAAGGATTATCACTAATGGTCTCCAGCACTTTCGTAATATTACGTTTTATAAACTACTCCCACAACCACCAAAGCGGCAACATCATTTTTGTTCTTCCAACACGGCTCCTAGAGTACAGAGTACAAATCGGGGCTTTTCGATTTTTACAGTACGTTGTAGCAGTGAACTGCGTAGTCAACTACTTTGATAGCAGTTCACAGCGCATAAACTACGATTACGAACGAGAAAGGCCAATTTTCTTTATGAAGTAACCTGTTTGTAAAAAACAATGTTACCGATGGTCATGTGTTTCAACCCTAAGTAATTTTCCACATCAAAATCCTTCCACATAAAAGCAGTATTCTGGTTCGCGCTCATTAATAACTCACGTACTTGACATTACTGTCATCTTATCACTTGGTACAGTAATTTACCATCCAAAACGTATAACGACTGCAACAATAACACAGACAGTTCCACGGGAATACCTTAAGCTAGCTATTATGCTATATCGAGGTTTCGCTCTGAAAGGCACAATACGGACAAAGGTACTTCCATTTGAGATGGTGGAGATTTGTAGCTCAGGTGCACCACGAGGTGCACAGAACAAGCTGTGAAACACATATGGAGAAATTCGAACACTTCACTTCTATCTGAAGTCTGTGCTGATGATGTCGTTCAGAAGAACGATGAAAGCTCCACGACCAAACCATCCAGCTCAGAGAACAAAACTCCACCAAAGTACTTCCATTTCCAAGCCGTGTATAGCACTCTATATACCCTTACCACTACTACGTTTATTCAATTATTAGATTTCATATCTGTTGTTTTGGAAATATGTGAATTATTTTGGGGAAAAACCTATTGTACGTGGATTACGATTATCCGCTTTTAGCTTAAAGTCTAAAATTTATTATGCTCTTTCCTCGACTGAAGCTAACAGATAATAATAACAAATAACAAAAACATCGTCCCATGATAACGAGTGGATCTAACATGTGTGCCGATTGGTGATACCCTTTTACATACTTCAAAATGTGGATTTATGAATGAGTTACATAAAACCGGACAACAGACTCAACGTGAGCTGTCTGGCAAAATAAATTTTCTTGGACATTTCACAGATGTCGATTGATGGCGAAACAGATCTTGTTAACTTCTAAGGAAAATTGTTGAATTCATAACTACTTTAGAAAGTACCATTTCCAGAATCAGGTTTCATAATTTTAAATAAACTGCGAATTAGGCAGTTTGTGGACACTTGTAGAAGTTACTCCTTTTTTAGACTCCAGGATGTGTTGGCCCGCTAACAGTATGTTTCATTGGGAGCTATTTCTCTTGGTATCACCGATAATTTACTTCGGAAGACAGAACACCAGTTATTTAGAAAAGCGTGTACTGTTATTAATTGGGGAAATCCATAATCACGCGATTGGAAAGCGAACCAGAGGGTGAGTGAGTAAACGTGTGCGAAACCATGTGCATTTTATGTGCTAACCGATACACAGATGACGTTATTGATTTTGTTTGTTCACAATAATGAGATAGTAAATAAAGATTGAGAAGCACACATGCGTTCAATCAAACTGAGATATTCGCATACAAAGAGGATTAGATGTCTAAATTTCAGTAAATATGTAATGGAGATAGTCAGGAAGTTTTTTATAGACAAATAGAAACTCAAATGTAATATTCCAGCAAACCAATAAGCAGGTGATTCGAAAAAGAAATGGTCTCAGTGAACGAAAGACCTGGCAAACGATTTTACAAACTGTAGTCTATCTTAAAATTGCACAGAATGAAACAAATATATCCAGGACTTTTGGAATTCCAGTATTTTATATATATATATATATATATATATATATATATATATATATATATATATATATATATATATATATATATATATATATATATATATATAGACAGTGAGACTGTGCAATACCTGAATAATGTTAAACCGAGTCTGTACAGTCAATAGGTACCTGTAAGTCAGGAAAAACCGGCTGAATTCGCTCTAAGGTTAAGCGATCGTTTGTGACTTTACTCACAAGGTGAGTGGTCTTACTTTTCAATGACAGTAAATGTTTTTAGTTACCGAACTTCCTTTTATGAATAGTCAGCATAGGGAATCAGTAACATCATCGTTTTTATTATTTTTTGTGATTATTCTTTTTCCTTCAAATGCCAACCCGTTAGCGCGTCGGAAATAGTCATTTTTTGAATGAGTCAATCGGCTTTATTGATGTCCTATAATTTTCAGGTTGGGCTCTTTTAGTCATCTACGCAACATGGATGTGTTATATTATTCATAACAAAGAAGTTTCGAGAAACCTTCCTAATAATTATCTTTGTTATAAAAAAACATAGCTCAAACTTAATGATTATTTTTCTACCAAAAGAATGCTCTTAACAGAAGAGGGAGATATTCGATGCCTAGTTATGTAAAAGACATCACTCAGCTTAAAATCAGAGATATATATTCAACTAAACACACTGATTAAGTGTGAACAATGCTTTAAACGAATACGTCAACACCGTGACAAAGTAGGAAGTAATAAATAGAACAAAACACCAGATAAAAGCAATTCTTTCCAAGCTCATTTAAAACGGACAACTTGGTCTTGAAAAATAAATACATGAAAGTAAAGCATGAGATCTGGGCCAAGGCAAAAGAAATGAGGTTTAGCAAACTGATATGAAAGTCCCTCCTAATCCTTGTGCAGGAAAACATCGAAAACATTTGCTTGATCTTCCGATTACGTCGACGATGAATGATTGAAATATGAAAACAACTCAGATTAGTCAGAGTTTGCTAAATATACAGATCTGCCTCGCATTACAACATAGAAGTGAACATATGCTCAAAGACCCCAAGGAACTACATTCAGGATAGGCTATGTTAAACCATGTTACCACATTAAAGTTGGTATTGCAACACACTGAGGCTAGATCCTTACATCGGAACCACTCAATGATCACAGATTTTCATCCATGAACAGCTTCCGTTCTGATGATATTAGACTACATATGTCTGTGGGGCAAAATACTTTATTCGTCTCAGACCCTTTATGCTTAGACACGATGAGATTATTCAACGATATTAATTTTTTTATTTATTTTAGTTCATTTGTAATAGCTACAAACTTACTGAGTATTCTAATTAGATAACTGTGTTTAATACCTAGACGCCATATCACCACCATCTTTCTGTCATGTTATCTTGCCTGACCTGTTGATGGAATTTTTTGTAAACATCATTTGTAAACATAACTGACAGCGATCTAATAATACTTCACATAAAGCGCTTGAATGGTCAGGTTCTGCAGAATCTAACTACATCTATACAGAATGTTATCAACATTGTGCCTCGGTATTTCGTCTGTCAAAATTCGACTGGGAGTAATGATCATTCAAGGTAAAAATAACATTGATTAAAGAACAACTGATTTTCCTCAATGAGGTTTGGTACCAAAATACTGAAGTTTCGTAGTCCGTTTGCTCGTTTAGTCTTGGTAAAAAATTATGTCGGTGAATTTACAATTATAGCAAATAAACTCTTGATTTGATCACATGATTTGTTTGGCCTTGACAGTGTTTGAGGTTACAAATTTTTTAAGTATTTGTACTTCAACCATCTTAAGATTTGTATATTGGATATAAGGACCAGTATCCTCAGTATAACTAGTTGAGGAGCCTGTACTTCTTCAGTGTTAAACGACAGCCCCGATGCACTTGTTTGCGTCGCCCTAATATTTCAATCGACAGAGAAATCACGTTTAACTACTGAGAAGTACTAGCTAATTAACAAATGGAGTTTTATTTGTCTAAATGAAAGAATTCTCGGCCATAATAATGTGCCAACTCCAATGACAGTATTTTTGGGTGCTACTCGCTGAGTTTTTCACTTCCACTAACTCAGCAAAAGCCTGGACCGGAAAAACATAACTTAGTGATCTAGCTCCGGACTGTTAAATGTCTGAGTACCACAAAATATATCGTCAGACTAACATGCGGAAAGTAAATGATGTAAAAAATGAGTACTGGAGGAAAAATTAAGGGGGACGGTCAAAGGTCGGACAGCATTATGGAACAAATGAACCTGGTAATAAGCGTTACTAAGTTCAGCCTTCACTGTTGATAGGCTTACGATCAGATTGTGAGAATAACAGAATATGAGTTCAACCCTCCACTGACTCCCGAAACAAGAAATCAAAAAGAAAAATTAATCAAAGTGTAAATTTATTAACAGCAACAAAAATCTCGCACACAACAGACGAGCTATTTAAAAATCATCAATTTATTAAAATTTATCTGCCGCCTTTTAAGGTGACGACCGGTTCATACAGACAGTTGTTAAAATTAGCAGGAAGAATGCTGACATCTGAGCTATTATAAAAGAGATGGTGAATTTTCGTCATCATAAAGACGATGTCCAACAAACAGCTGTGTCCGCTGGCTACAGTTGCCATTAACACGTGACGACTTGACTTTTCGTGTCGAAGTGTTTGGAGTTTGGTAATCTGAAGGGTTTCATGCAGTCTCCAGATGACTTACCGTATTTATTGTGGTACCAATACCGATCAGGACTAGCCGTCTTTAGTGGTCTGGAGACAGGTCA